TCCTTTTTTTTTTTTTTTTTTTTTTTTTTAGAGGAAAAGAAGAAAGCTACATTTAACGTAGATTCGAAGAATACTCATAGTTTCTTTATTAAGATACTGGTTGTACTGTATTATGTTCAAAATCTAGGTTGAAGAGAGAAACAGAGAATTCGAAGAAACAGCTGATGTAACACGTGTAACGATAGCCCTACATATTTAACGATTCTGTTTAACGGAAATTTCATGCTGCAAATGTAATCAAACCGACTGAACCTTACGCATAAACCAAGCTATATTTAGCCAGTTAACCCGCTAGGGAAGCTAGGGAAACGTGTTTTAATTTGTAGCTGTAAATGATCGTACAAGGACTCTGCGATCACATTTTACATACACTTTATCACTATTTTTTATTACAATCTGTTAAAGATGATTTAGTACGTTTTTAGAAAAATGCAATAATATCATTTAAGTCACAAATTGGTTTACACGTGCTAAAGCGAAACACGTATACAAAAATAAAAGCAGAGTTATCTTTTCTTAAACAAACTTTACGATTCTTACGATTACAAACTTACGATTCTGTATTAGACATTTAATTTCTCCACGTGTTTTTCCAATGGTAATTATTTATTTTTGCACAATTAATCAATTAATATGAGATAATAAATCCATACTAATAAAATAATCTGAGCGAAATGTAATTTACAATTGCTCTGTTTTTAATTCTCTATTTTTAATAAGGGTGCAACGCAACTTGTAAATTAAATAGCGTTTTCAATATTCTTCATGGCAAATTTAAATCAATACTTTTTATAAAATAGTATTAAAAAATAATATTTTATAAAATAGTAGTAAAAAATTCTACGAATTAAACGACATGAATTCGAAGAAGCAAGGTGTTGTTTTAAAATCGTAAAATAATTTTTTAAAAATAATTCTCTGGCGAACAGAAGGATATTAGTTGGAAGAATTACGAAGCTGCTTTGAAATCACAAAACATTTCGAATTAAACGAAGATCTTTCAAATAGAAGTAGGCGTTGTCATACTTGGTTGATGAGTTCAACGCGACCTTCGTTTCTCGTCATCAATTCAAACTAATAAAGACAACCGCATAAATAGGTTTTATCATCCGCATTTGTCGTACGACGTATTTACGAGCGTAAGAAATCGGGCAAGAGAATTGCGTGCTCGCAATACGCATTCGGGTAGTTACGAACATTTGTAAAGAATTGTGATTTCCGAGTATCTGGGTTATCGCTTCGTTGCTCCTATTAAGGTCTCAGACATTTATCGTTGGACACGTTGCTTGACCCAAGCGGGATCGGTTGTATCGAGCACGTTATACATATTTTGTTGGACATTTTTTAAATTAGACCACCGTAGAATCCTGCACGACCGATCTTCTGTCGAAAAATCTGCTTCGATCGCGTTAGAATAATAAAGCTCCACCGCGCAAGAACTTTATGAAACAGCGATGTGAATAACAGAAATCCGCTCTTTCCTTATGTCTTTCGAATACCATCGTAGCTGCCAACGCGTTAAGGGATAAAAAAAGAGAGAAGAAAATTCACATTATTTTAAATATATGTATTTTAAGCTCACACGCACATGTTTAACGATCGACTGTTTGTCGCAGAGATCGCAATGCGGACGAAACTGCAGTTCCTTTTATTTGCGTTGCTGTTAGTGTCCCTTTTGGTGGACGTCTCAGCCCAACAAGTAAGTTGATCAGAAGATATATAAAAATTAAGTATACAGATACGAATTATTACAGTATTACAATTATCTCTTTAAATGTAAATATTCAAACGACGAACTTGTAACAAATTTATACACAACATGTTGGATAATTTAAGGTAAATCACGACAGATTTTATTTCACGCGGACCGATACTCATAAAATTAGAAAATTATAATAACACGAATTAATAACATGGCCTATTACGATTATCGATTCTTAGCGACGAAAAAAACATCGCCGTCGCACAACCACGACGGAAGCCACTGTTCAAGATGAGGTCATGAACATGCTTGAGGCTGATGAAATAGCCGAGGCAGCGGAGGATGCTGAGGTCACCGTCGAAGATGGCAGAAACGAGGTTGGATCGAAGCCTCAGAGCTTGCTCCGTATGGATCCGTGCATGGATAAACACTGTGGCGCAGGACGAGTTTGCAAGGTTTGTCAGAGACCGAAATCGCATGTTATTACCACGATGCGTACAATTCTTCAATAATTCTTCTGTATTTTTGTCATTATCCAAATCACCGTAAATCGACTATGTTCGGCTCTCAATTATTCAATTTTATAACATGTATTTGTTACGATTGTTTACAATCGCAAGCGTCTAAAAACGCAAAAGTACGAAAAGTGCTCCGCCAGACAGTAGGTCCACTAAATCCTTTCGCTTTGTAAGAATATATCTTTTTTAAAGATATAAGAATTATTTGAAATATTCGAAGATTCGCTCGAGATACTTCTGTGCAATATTCTGTCTAAAAATGTATCTCTCGCGAATCCGCTTCGTTATCGGCCTTTGAGAATCTTCTATTCAACTCGTGGAATTCAGTACGCAAACTATAAAAGATGGTGTTGGTTAAAAATTTTTGAATAAAGGTTGGTAAGATTTCGTACTGCGTTCGTTTGGAACGTTCCATTTACGTTCGAACGTTCTATCCAACAAAGAAATTCGTTAGTTGTAAGGATTACGATCGTTTCAGGCTATCGACGAAGACACAGCCGAGTGTGTTTGCGTTGAGGTATGCGACGAAGAGGTCGATCCTAGGCGAAAAGTTTGCACTAATCACAATGAAACTTTCGGAAGCGATTGCGAGGTCTACCAGGCGCGTTGTTTCTGCGACTCCGGCGACGCCAGATGCAGAAACGCCGAGAAGTATCAACACGTTCACGTCGTATACTTCGGTGAATGCCGAGAGATGCCTGTAAGTACTTACCATCGTCACCGACGAGTTCGGATACGTTAAATTTCTATAAAGAATATAATACAAAGCACACGATACGAAGAACAAATTCGTATCGTTTGTGGTACACGCTTAAATCAAAAAAGTCGAATATCTTTCTCATAAATCTTAACAAGCGTTCATTGGTATTGGTAAAGTATCTGCTACAGTTATCACTGGCTGATATAACGGAATGCTATTCATGAATAGAAGTGTATCTTATCTATCGTGTATTATTGTTCTTCTTGTCCCATAGAAATGATTTCATTGTAATTTTATATCTGTCCTTGCGTTCATGTAACGCCATTTCGTTAGATTACTTCATCGTATAATTAAACGGGAATGTGTTCATGACTTTGTTATGAAACAAAGATTAGTACATAGATATATAAACTTAACGATTTTCGGAAATTTTAACTAAATTTGCACGTAAAGATACGTAGCGTAACTGAATAAACATCGGATAAATTACGATTAAAATGTTTTATTTGTGAAATACAAAACGAAAGTTGCAATAGTTTGTACGGTTATTTATGAGAAACATGAAATTTTCGATGATTATGTTTGTAATGCTTTAATTTAAATTGTAATAAATATATTTATAAAAGTAAATTTTAATTATAATATAAATATATTTATGGATGACTATATATGTATATTTTAGTCTTGTAATTAAACAGTGCAACATGGAATTAGTAAAAATTAAAAAAAATAGTTCGAAGACGGGTGAATTAATTGTATTCTTATAGTTTCGTTCTAACGTCGACCGTTTGCCGCGTTGCAGGAGTGCAAAAAGGAAGACATGGCTGACTTCCCAAGGCGAATGCGAGACTGGCTGTTTAATATCATGAGAGATCTTGCTGATCGTCAAGAATTACCATCGCATTATCTGAAAATGCAACGGGAAGCTGAAACAAATCATACATTGCGTTGGACTAACGCCGCTATCTGGAAATGGTGCGACTTAGATGGTCACCCTCATGACAGAGCTGTTTCCAGGCACGAACTTTTCCCCATTAAAGCACCTTTGATGGCTCTCGAGCATTGTATTGCACCGTTCCTCGACTCCTGCGACAGAGACAACGACCATAAAATTACCCTTATCGAGTGGGGCAAATGTTTAGAGCTTAACGAGGTAACGATCCCTGATATTTATAAATGAATAATTTTAAGTTATTAATTAGTAATTAGTATTAATTATAAAGTAATTTATAATATTAATTAGTTAGTAATTTGAAACGAATATACTCCCATACACATGAATAAATTTTGGAATGCAATGATTACAATTTATTAAATCTTAATTATTAAAACTTCTAATGATATTACATGGAAAACGTTAATTTTAATTATAATAATTATACATTTTATAATAGAGGAATTGATATACCTTATCTGTTTAAAGAATACGAGTATTATGATATTAAATTCTATAATTGCTAGAGAGTTAATCAATTTTAAAAATTTCATAGATACTGGTAAACAATATATTATACAGATGAAGTATAATGTACATATGTTATGTACAATAACAAGATTTTTAAATAGTTCTCATATAGCAAACTTAACCTTCTAAATTAATTTTAAAGAAACTTTTATTTTATATATTTTATACACTTTTGAATAATTGTCAATAAGGTTTTTATATTGTGATACAACCTTCCTTTAAACTCTCACCGTCTACTCGTTTAAAATAATTTTTACTCTTTTACATATACCACTATAATATTTATCCACTATAATAATATCCACTATAATATTTTGAAACAAATAAACAGAAGTGAACATTGGAATAAGAATTTAACTATCCATATAATTAAGATAAAACAACTAATGATATTATTCAGTGTTATATGTTACTTAGAAGTCTGTGAAATGCTGCTTGTTTTATCTATCTGCTAAAACATTTCGATCTGTAATAGTACTGTTGAAATGATATTGATTCGAATTGCAGGAGGATTTGGAGGATAAGTGCGACGAACTGGCCGAAACAAAGAAGTCCGAGCAATACTAACTACAGACAAGTTCGAATGATAAGCGGTAGTGGTTACGACGGAATAAATGAACGGAAGGAACAAAAAGGAGGGTAAACACACGACGTATAGTACCAATGAAAGGGCGAGGAATGAGAAAAATGGCGGGAAAAGTTGCAAGTAAAGCGCACGCAACAGTGCGCATGTCTGCGCAGAGACTCGTCGATATTGCAACCCATCCGTGATGGTCGTGCCAACCGCAGTTTTAGACAGTGCTCTCTAATAATATAGAGATGTGTACGTTAGGGACTCTACTCGCGTTATTTCCACAATAATTCTTTAAAAACCTGGGAACTGTTTATTGTCATATGATGGTTCAAATAGAAACGCGATACACCTGCTCGTTTCCTCTCCCTGTAGTATAATCTTGATATTATCCTCGTAGCAACAACGTACGTATTTTCTATATATACACATATATACATACATACCTTTTGTATAAATTTATTATGTGACTGCCTTTCTATCAATAAAGAGTGATACAGTTTCTTTCGTCTGCGCAATACTAATCCATTACATACTATGCTTCACGGTGTCAGCTGTTAAAATCGAAGGAAATACATGTTGATTATTTTTACAGGAATAATTTAATTTGTGCCTTTACTGCATAACGCGAACAACAAAATATTAATACTATTTTATATTATGTGTTTGTGTAGATATTTCTTCGTCATGTTTTATTCTATTCAGTTGTGTTCAATGATAACACGCTCCTATGTTTGATAATTTAATTATAAAAATATGAATATATATTATATACATTTATTAAAGTTTCCATTTCAGATTTCACTTTTTCGTACAGTGTTGTTTTATTATATTATACCTGTGACACAATGTGTGAGAAAGAACTGAATTCTTGAGACTATAACTTAAGACTAAAGTTCATCGGTTACTTTGAAATTCATCGATGCCGCGTCGTTAACATTTTATACTTTTTAGGTGAGGTATAATCACTTTTTTACGCCAGATGTTACTATTTATAACATCATTTATTTTTTTAAGAAACATATATTAAACGTTAGAAACGATATGCGTACGACGTATCAATCGTATTAATACTATAAAAATATAATATGTAATCTACTGTGCGTTATTGTACAATAGATGCAAGGAAATTTTTATACAGAATGATAAATTCTTTGTTCTTCCAATTTTTATTAACTTTACATTTATTAGTAATGATGCAATTACGTTTCCTGTTTGCCGGTATAAAAAATACTGTTATATGAAAAGAATTTGAATATCAAACCATTTGTGTGTTTATAAATTCAAACAAAGAGATATATAGAAAAATATGAAATGAGAATTACACGGTGGTTACGCCTAAAATTCAAAGAGACTTTAGATAGTGTTTGATAAGTTGGGAATAAACGGTAAGTGACCAACGGGAATAATAACGCAGTGTACCTTAGACAGTATGGAAAATTACCCAGTGTACACGATGCAATGTTTAAGTGATACAAGATAGGAACGTTACTCTTTCGAGTAAATTGTTGTAACGAGTCAAGACCAACAGATGGCGAACGGGCATTTTATTGAGTGAGTGTAATTGGTGTGTTTTAGTCACGTGGGACGATCGCGGGACGTGCCGACAGCGCCAAGCGTATTTGGCGGGACCGCGCTTAGACGGCGTCGTCTGTGCTTCTGGCAAGTCTGTCGTGTAGTGAACCACAAAGGCTCTTGTCCGATAATGGTGAGTATCCGCAAGTTTTCAGCGGATCCTTTAGCCATCCGTGCATTCTAATAGCACAACCGTATTCTACAATGTTCATGCTGTCTTCTGGCGAAATTTCGTGGCCGTATCTCGCAAATTAACCGTGATTTTCGTTTCTGAACAGGCTGGCGGAAAGGCGGGCAAGGACTCGGGTAAAGCGAAGGCGAAGGCGGTCTCTCGTTCGGCGAGGGCCGGCTTGCAGGTGAGTTTATTGCCTACTACTCGACCAGTTCAAATGCATAGAATAGAAGTTTGTCAACATTATTTTTCGATAATGAACGTCTACGTGATTATTTTAAATAGATTTTAAGGGTAAAAAGGTTAAATCATTGTGGTTGGCGCGAAAAACCGAAGCGTTTTTAGATTCATAATGAACAATTCATTTTTTTCAAGTATTTGCGATCTTGCTGTGAATAAAATATATGAAAGTGCTTGATTTAACTTCGATTTATACGTATTGTGTTAAATAACTGAACAAAACTTGGAGGAAGTCTATTATTTTTTGAATTAAAGTTATGGTGATTACGTCTAAGTTCGGAAGTTTTCAAACGAGTCGTTGAGTCTGTGTACTCTACACCCCCCTCCCCTCTTATATCTTCCTATTCAGCTACTAATATGATTCTCATCGAATTATTCTTTTTTATAATTTTCAAAAAATCATTTAATACGAATCGCTGTGTTGGTAATTGTTTGCGTTTAGTCATATTATGCGAATTCTGTTAAGATAATTTAAATTGACAGCAGTTCTAATTTAGTCTTGTATTATTATTTTTGTATTCAATAGGCTCGTCCATTATTGAAATTCAGTCAATAGCGACATTGATATTTTTTATGTTGAAACCGTGTATTCTTATTTATTTAAGTATAAAAATTTAACAATTTTTTAAATTAATTTAAAGAACTCTAGTTTGTGATACGTAGAAACGTATATAGTTATGTATACAAACATGTAAATAATAACATTAAGTATGTAAACATTAAACTTAATATCTTGTAAAGTAACATAACATATTTTCTTTATGAAGTTTATCAACCATTGTCTTCGGATAATTATAATTTCCAACTGTAGAAAATTTATTAATATTTTGAACGCGTAAATAAATAAAATACAGGACATTCGTTAGTGAATGACGAAATCACATACTAAACTGGAGAGCTCGGGAAAGCCGAATCATCGTACACCGCTCGATATTCGTTGTGTTAAAAAAGGACTGAGTTATGTGTGGTGTTCTATGTGTAGACAAAATTGGTTTTTCGTTTAGAAGAATCGGGTACAGCGTGGCTATATAAAGAATTGTTGCGGGGAAAGTACTGGGAACGTATAATATTACGAAAAATTGTGTCATTCGTCGTCGTTCGATATTTGTTATACGAAAAGCTGCTGACGCCGAGTGACCTCATGTTATTTGAACAGACATTATATATGATGCGTCCTAACCCAAAAATATTTACCTTGCCACGAATGCAAAATTACCTTCCGATGTAATATCATTTTTACCTATATTAGACATAATATGTTTGGTTTTTTCAGTTTCCGGTTGGTAGAATTCACAGGCATTTGAAAAACAGAACCACAAGTCATGGTCGAGTCGGTGCTACAGCAGCGGTATACAGTGCAGCTATCTTGGAATACCTCACTGCTGAGGTGAGTGAGAATATATGTGAAAGAAGAAAGCATTCGCAAAACAAAGAGAGAAAGACAGAGAAAGAAAGGCAAATACGCACAATAGGAAGATCAGCCGTTATAACCAGGACTATATGCGTTGGCATCACTAGCGACTGATGGCGTCACTAACGCCAAGCATCATGGCCGATTTTTCCCGCCTTTTCGTCAACCATAGGCAAATAAGGAACAATTCTTTCTTCTGCTTATCGTGTTATATAGAATTTCACTTTTAAATTCATATTTTTCATTTTTTACGAAAGTAAAAACTTCCATCTTCGTTAGGGAAATATTATCATATAGTTACATTCTAAAAAGATATGTTTATGGACAAACAATTCTTACATTACTAATGCTTTAGTTTATAATTACTTTTGTGACTTTTAAGCATTTCTATGTTTCTATTAAAAGATGATGTCTAATCCTGATATGTACATATTTATTCACATGTATACATTTATTCATTTACATGTTTTCATATTATTTTTTGTATTCTGTATGTAAGGTATTGTGTTTTGTAGTGTTACGTGCTAAAGTTTCATAAATAGTGCACGATATTAGATGTGTTATGAAACGATGTTTTGTTTGTTTTAGGTTCTCGAATTGGCAGGAAATGCATCAAAAGATTTGAAGGTCAAACGTATTACACCAAGACATCTTCAGCTTGCTATTCGTGGTGATGAAGAATTAGATAGTCTCATTAAAGCAACTATTGCTGGAGGAGGTATGTTTTTTTAATAGTTCCATTACTTTAATAGTCGTTATTAATAGGTCATGTGATCATATATTATCATATTATATAATCTTGTTATAATAAATTAAAGCATTTGCTTGCTCCTGAATTAAAAGTCTTGATTCAAAGTAATTTTGCTATTCAGATTCTAATATCTAAAGCTTTAAAAATTATATTATGATTATTAAAAATGGTAGTTTAAAGGTCTAGTCAAAACATAAGAATTATTTATCTTATATGTTTATTGCAAATATCTTTCTTATATTCTCAAAAAGTAATAGAATGTTATATCAATGCGATTTAGATTAAACAATGATTTTTTATTTAATTTTCTCCTGTTACAGGTGTTATACCACATATCCACAAATCGTTGATCGGAAAGAAGGGTTCGCAAAAGCCAGCATAATTTAGTGATTCAGTTAAGAACATGTGAAGCTATGTAGACAAAACAGATGCGAGCAGAGTGATTGTTGATAAAGTGTACCTATGTTACGAAATTGATGGCGAAAGACTGGCGTGATATATATATATAGATATATAAATAAAACAAATATTGATATAATTTAATATAGGTAACGAGAGTTAAAAAAAAGACAAATTTTCACCACATAATTGGCATTTAGAGTCGGGAAAGTTAATAATATAGTCTGAAAATTTTAGTGTACGTTATACTGCAATTACTTGACAAGCGATGCGTTGTAGCATGGTTTGCTCAAAACTGCAGAAGTCTTTGATACTGTATGCGGATTGTAAACTAAACGTTTTGAAAGTTGGAGTATTTAAGGACTTGGATGTGTCGTAAAGTTTGTAATTTTAAAAGAAGATTATTCTTTTGATTTCATATTTTGTGCATGGTGTTTAACTTTGTCTCTTTTTTAAACTATTGCGTGCAACTAATGTTGTTTTCTTAAAATTAGCTATTAAATAGCATTGCAGTAATTCGATAAAACTGTATAATATGAGCGAGTATTAATAGGTATTTCATAAATTTTTTCACTTTCAATTTTTGAAATTTTTAATCCATTTATATTTAACTGTTTAATACCTTACAATTATAGTTACAAGTAAAAGTAGTTACGTACTCATTCTTGTTATTAAATACTCTTAACTATCTCATAGCAGTAAACAGTGTGCATAAATACCTCTAGATTAAATTTTTAATTTTGGACACTTTGTATTCTAAAATTTGTGTTGCCGAATATCTTTGCTTAAATTTTTGAAGTTTTCAGTCTCTGTAACATTAGTATTACATGAGAAATCATTCTGCTGACTTTGTTTATATTCTGTTAATTTTATGAAACGCAATAAGTTGAATTTGTAGCGTGCTGTAATTTATGTCCATGATTATGAGACTGGAATCTTTGAAATCTATAAGGCTT